GGTCGCTTCCCTACATGTACTCCTACCACACGGATGACCAGAAGAATCGTTCCATGTTGAGAATTGGTGAATCTGCTTGGAGCAAGCCTCAGAGTTTTGAAGCTATTGGGAGCACATTCGAGGTCGTTCTTCCTGACAAGCATGGTAGATCTGAGATCCATTCAGGTGTGTCTGTCGCCGAGGGCGACGGAAAATACAAATTGACGAAGGTCGTGACCATTGCACCACGCTTCATTCTGAAGAACAAGCTAAACGAGGACATCCTGGTCCGGGAGCCTGGCTCGTCAAATGTCCTACAAATCAAGAGTGGCGAATTGACACCCCTACACTTCTTACGCCAAGTTGTGGACAAGCAGTTGTGCCTCTGCTTCCCAGGGGTAAACAATCAATGGTCATCGCCCTTCAACATTGCCGATATTGGAACCGTACATGTCAAGCTTGCCAAAGCTAATCAACGCCAGAGACTCATCAAGGTTGATATTATCATGGAGGGTGCAACTCTCTTCATCCATTTCAGTTTTGAGCCCCGCAACTGGCCCTTCTCGATGCGAAACGAGAGTGACATGGAATTCATCTTCTTCCAGGCTGTGAGTATACTTTGTCCGCCTCAAAACATGCATTGCTAACGCGACCGTAGAACCCGAATCTTGAAGACGACGAGGAAGACAGGTCCAATGGCTGGCGACCTATTCGCTACCGCCTTCCTCCTCGCAGCATCATGCCCTATGCCTGGGATTATCCAGCCACCAAGAACAAGTCCCTTGTCTTAACATGCAAAGGCAAGGAAAGGCACATCAAGCTTGCTGAGATTGGAAACTTGATACCGATGAGAATTCCCCCAACCCAGTATGGAGAGACTCAGAAGATCATTGATATCAACATTGTTGCCAATGGTCCAACCCAGACTTTGGTCTTGTCGAACTTCAAGGCATCGAAGAGTATTTACAAGCAAAAGGGACAAGCCTCGCAGAGCAGCTTGAGCACTGGCTTCGAAGTGAAAGAGCTTGATTCGGATGTCAACTTCAAAGCCCAGCTCCGTCTTGGAGGCATTGGCATCTCCTTGATCAATCAAAATTTAAGGGAGCTGCTCTATCTGACATTCCGCGACATTGAAATCAAATTCAGAGAATCAAGAGTTTACCAGACTCTGAACACCACAATCAAGTGGATTCAAATCGACAATCAGCTGTACGGAGGCATCTTTCCCATTCTGCTGTATCCCAGTGTGGTTCCAAAGACTGGAAAGGAGATGGAAGCACATCCAATCTTCCATGCTATGGCTACCCGCGTCAAGGACGACTCTTATGGTGTTCTCTATATCAAATATGCCACAGTGCTTCTGCAGCAGATGACACTGGAGCTTGATGAAGATTTCATTGCCGCAATGCTCGACTTTGTTAAGGTGCCTGGTGCGTCATGGTCTGAGCCGCACGAAGGAAAACTCTGCGATGAGGACTTGAACATTCCAGAGCCGCAGAATGAAGGTGCCGCTCAGGACGTGTACTTTGAACTTCTTCATCTGCAACCTATGCAGATCGATATCTCTTTCATGCGTACTGAACGTGTGAATGCAGAAGATGCTCTGCAACCGTCCAACCCGCTGATGTTCTTCGTTCACGTCATGACAATGTCAATGGGCAATGTTAACGACGCTCCGGTACGTCTGAATGCATTGATGCTGGAGAATGCGCGTGTCTCCTTGGGAGTGCTTGTCGGCAACATCCAGAGACACTTCACGCAAGAGTTCCTTCGCCAAGTGCATGTGGTCCTTGGCTCTGCGGATTTCTTGGGCAACCCTGTTGGGTTGTTCAACACCGTCAGCTCTGGTGTGGCGGATATTTTCTACGAGCCATACCAGGGTCTTGTCATGACTGATAGGCCTCAGGAGCTGGGTTATGGTATCGCAAAGGGTGCTACAAGCTTTGTGAAGAAATCAGTCTTTGGATTTTCTGACAGTATGGCCAAGCTTACTGGAAGTATGTCCAAGGGTTTGGCTGCTGCTACATTGGATAAAGAATTCCAAGATCAGCGGCGGATGTCCAAGTCTCGGAACCGGCCCAAGCACGCATTATATGGCATCACAGCAGGTGGTAATGCATTTGCAACCAGTCTAGCAAGTGGCATCGGAGGACTTGCCCGTCATCCACTCCAGGGTGCTGAAAAGGAGGGTATTCAAGGATTCTTCAAGGGTGTTGGAAAGGGCGTTTTAGGTTTGGCGACGAAGCCTGCGATAGGAGCCTTTGACCTTGCCTCAAGTGAGTCTATAATTACACTTTCGAAGCAAACCAGGCACTGACCCAAACTAGATCTAGCTGAGGGCGTGCGAAACACGACCACTGTGTTTGATGCCGAGGGACTCGACCGTGTTCGTCTCACTCGCTTTATCGCCACCGATGGTATCGTGCGGCCCTACTCTCAGCGCGAAGCGTTAGGACAATTCTGGCTCAAGACGGCCGACGATGGAAAGTACTTCAACGAGGACTATATCGCACACCTGGAACTTCCGGGACGGGACATGCTGGTCATGTTGACTTACGATCGGATTATCCTCGTGCGCACCAAGAAGCTGCGCACCGAGTGGGACATGCGGTTGACCGACATCCAAACTATTTCCAAGGAGCGTACGGGTATGAGCATCACTCTCAAGGGTGGTGCGAATGGCCCCTTCATCCCGGTCCAAGATGAGAGCTCCAGAAATTGGCTGTACCGGCAGATAGCAATTGGTGAGAGCACATACGGCCCAGCAACTGCTACGTAATAATGCTAACGCCCATTCAGCCGTCAACGCCTTCAACGAGAAATACAATTCTCGCGGCTAAATAAAACACATTTCCTGTTTCTCTTAACGATGTTATGTCGGCTGATGGTTGGGTAAAATTTCCTACAAGGGTTGATTCAAAGTCCGATATGACATGAAATGGATGGTGGAAGGCAGAGGTTGTAATGATAACGCATTGCTATTATTCATCTTTTGGTCTCTTTCCCATGTTACAGCAGATTAAGCGAGAACCGTATTATTCGCGCAGTCTATCTTTTTTTCATTTCTAATGATGTTTGTTACTGTACATACATGCATTTACCTGATCCGCTACGCTGTGATCAGTTCCTTATGTTAATTTTCTAATCGATTTTATTCATCTGCAAGATACAGCACTGTTGACTGCATTAGCAAGAATATGAAACCGCTCGCTTTCCACAACATGACGACAGACATAGATAGCACAGAAACACAGAACCAACCCCTAGCCGAATTACGCCCATATCCAGCCCATACTTATCATAATAACCACTTCAATTCAATTCAATCAATCAATCAATCAAGATGCCCCCCCAACTCAACATCCTGACACGGCAAAACCGGCCAACTCCTTCCCCCCGCATCATCCAACAACGTAACCGTGACCTTTCCCCGACTATCATTCAACTCCTCCACATTCCCATACCAAGACGGATTCAATTGGTAGATCTGCTTCACCAGTTCCCTGATATTGTATCCGTCCGGAGAATCGAACGTCCACCATGCCAGATGGATGGGTTTCACGTCGGTGATTTTGGCCCCGCTGGTCTTGGAGTATTTCGTCAGCCCCTTGAAGAAAGTTATCATGTCGTCGCGGGTCGCGGCTGCCACGAGCCAGCGGTGCCAGTCCCCCGCGGAGTTGGATTTGTTGGTTTGGATGAGGTGGGCGTAGTAGGGGCTTTGGTAGTGGTTGTGGTTGGGAGAGGTGGGGTAGGGGTCCATGATGATGTGATGTGATGTTTTTCCTTTCTTTTCTTGATTCTTCCTTGGATGAGGGTTGGGGGGAGTTGAAGGGTGATAGTAGTAGGTTATTTAGAGAGAGCTTGTATAGTAGTAGCTTCACGTTGGGGTTTGGGCTTGGAGTATGCTTGAGTATAGTAGTAGTAGTATTTGGAAGGGATATAACTCTTAGCAGGGGAGGGTGTCAGGTACTTGAGTTATATATCTCGTTTCTAGGGTGCATATGTACCTTGGGAAGAACCATACTATTTTTTTTTCTATAAACGAATGGCATTGCAGTGATTAGTAGGCTTCAATGTCTTTGGCTTGTGATAGTTCGTCACTGAATGATGTATTATGATAGATTTGCGTCAAGTTCCGAGGGATGATTGTCCGGTGAGTCGACCTGAGCCCGAATCCGGTTGGCGTTCGAGATATTGAATGTGGGATAATTGGCTACACAGTAGTTGTTCACAAGTAGTAGTGTTGCTACCATGGCCTTTCTGGTTTATACATGTCTGTAGGTAGTAAGCTTGCATCAATGGTAGCATGAAACTGGTAGTACTAATAACTAATCGGACATGACAGCTGGAGTAGCAATAATGCGTCTTGTTGTTCTGGGTATTATTACTACTGATATTCTTCTTCTCTTAGTCTAGCGCGTACAGGAAGGTCTGGATGGACTCTTTGTCCTCGACACACTCAGAGGGTGGTGGTGTTGTTCTCCCACATGGGACGTAACGCCTTCTCGTTTCCTGAATCCGAGTGAGAAGATGCCAACTACTAGTATGTCGAGAAAATCCATGCAAGTGAAGTTCGTATTGAATTCGATGCACGCTATATGTACGTATGTAAATAATACAATAGTGCCAAATTCACCTGTATGTTTGCCACCCAGTCTTTGAACCAAAGCATTGAGATTAAACAAGAAAAGAGAAGAGGAGTAACGGTAAAGTAGACGCAAACGGACAGTCACGGTGAATACAAGGGCCGAGAAGGAAATCAAAATGGTAAAAGAGAAACGAGAAGAGACCATAGCGTTTGTTGAGGTGATGGTCATGATCTCAAGACCACCGTATCAATGAGGTAGAAAAAGAGATAGGTTGAAGATGGTATTGGGTTGTTTCTCGATACGTATGACACATGAGGACGAGGAAGGAAAAGAGCAAAGAGCGCGGTGCATAACAAGACATTCCTATGATATTGTAGCTGTAACAGGCGATGATCGTAAAAAAAAAGGGGAGAATCAGAGGTAAAAGATCGCTTATTCCTGGACGGAATTTCCGCTGGTCACTGTAGGTGGTAGCCGGGCCGTCTGTAGGGCTTCGGGCAATTTCAGCGGCGCCGCGGGAGCTGATTGCAGCTTGTCGAGCTTTTCGCCTCGCAGAACCTTCTCCATCTCCTCCTTTGTCAGTGTCTCGTATTCAATCAAAGCCTTGGTCAAGAGCTCCAGCTCCTCCCGCTTCTCAGTCAGAATGTTGCTAGCGCGGGCACGACCCTCCTCGACTAAACGACGGACTTCGGATTCAATCTCCTGCTTCGTTTCCGATGAGAGGCTGTCATAGTTGCTCGACAGGTCAACGTTTCCGAGCTTCTTGGAGTAGCCGAAACGGGTGACCAAGGTAAAGGCAGTTTCAGTGGCTTGTTGAATGTCCTATTACATGTCAGTGACTACGTACTTTGAGCTAAGGTGTTAAACGTACCGCAGAGATTCCACTGGTCACCTTGTCGGGGCCGAAAACGAGCTCCTCGGCAGCCTTACCGCCCATGGAGACGTCGATATCCGAAAGGTATTCAGTGTAATTTCTCGAGACCATGTCCATCTCAGGCAGGAAGTGAGTCACACCCAAGGCCATGCCTCGAGGAACAATGGTGATCTTGTACAAAGGCGTAGAGGAAGGAGAGAAGTAAGCAACGAGAGCGTGACCGGCCTCGTGGTAGGCAGTGAGGATTTTGTCCTTGTCCTGAATGATACGGCTGCGAGCCTCAGCACCCATCATGATCTTGTCCTTAGCCCAGTCGAAGTCCTTCGGGCCAACCTTGGTTTGCTTGTTACGGCTGGCATAGATGGCAGCTTGGTTAACAAGGTTCTCCAAATCGGCACCAGAGAAACCGGGGGTACCACGAGCAATGACACCAACATCAACATCCATGCTGACCTGGACCTCCTTCATGTGGTGTCGGAGAATATCCATACGACCACGGACGTCGGGAAGACCAACAGTCACCTTGCGATCAAAGCGACCAGGACGCGTGAGAGCCTTATCCAGAAGTTGGGGGTAGTTGGTTGCGGCGATGATGATCACTCCGCTGCTTTGGGAAAAGCCATCGAGTTCAGTAAGCAGTTGATTCAAGGTTTGCTTCACGTAGGCGGCATCCCTCTCGTTCCTCTTGGCACCAATGGCATCCAACTCATCAATGAAGATGATAGCGGGGGACTTGCTGCGGGCTTGAGTGAACAACTCACGAACGCGCTTGGCGCCGACACCCACGTAGACCTCATCGAATTCAGAGCCAGACATGTAGAAGAAAGGAACACCAGCCTCTCCTGCAACAGCACGAGCCAGCAAAGTCTTTCCGGTACCAGGAGGACCAACCAGGAGAACACCCTTGGGCAGCTTGCCACCAAGCGAGGAGAAGCGATCGGGGTTAGTGAGAAATTCGACGAGTTCCTGAAGTTCTTCCTTGGCTTCATCGCAACCATGCACATCGCTGAAACGGACAGTCTGCTGCTGAGGCTGAGCTTCGCTGTTCTGCGGGCCCCTGATGTTCTTCAGGGCACCAGTCGTTTCAACCAAGATTGTGATCATAACCAGAGACAGATAAGCGAAGAAGGCGAAGTAGAACAGGAACTTGACCCATCTGAAGACAGCACTTCCGGTTGACTCCTCCACAACCACGTGCAGAGGATCTTCCTTGTTTCCAGTGCCAGTCTGCTTGACTGCTGAACCGTAGTGGGTAGAAGAACCGAATTGTCCACCGTGAAACTGAGTTGCGACGGCCTGACCGATGGCTTGCAGCCGCTCGGGGCTGACGGCCTGGCCGGACGCAGGGACCGCTACCGCAGAGTCCACGCCGCCAACGCGTTGCAGGGCTTTCATGTAGAGTTCGTCCGTAGCCGCATTGGTGGCAAAATGACCGCTTTTGTACCGTTCAACGACAATGGCAGGGTGGTTTGCACGGAGGAGGGCCTGGTAGAAAGCATTCTGAGCGTTTGCGCTGCTAGGGTTGTTGTTGGCAGTCTTCTCCTTCTGCGCCAACAGATTGTGAGAAGAACCACCAAACAGAAAACGCTGTTGCTGTAACCGGGAGAGACCTTGTACTTGGGGGGCGTGGCGAAGACGGTTGACGGACATGGATATCGTGGAGTAGGAACGAGCAGAGGGAGAGGCAAGATGACGGGTAGCAAGAGACGGCGAGGTCCACATTGTGGTTCCTGGAATGAAGTCAAGTTAGAGCAAGTCTTCCAGGTATAAGAAGAGAAATGTATACCATTGAGCAAGGAGCGAGACCATCCGCTTTGAGTGGTCTTGTTCAAGATGCTTGCCTTCAACGCCTCGGAAGACACAGTAGCCAGGAACTCGGGCAGCTGCACACCACTTGATCCCTATACGTATATCAGCGCACTAGCTCCATCATTCTACGGCCGACTAGGGAGACATACCGTGGAGGTTGCTTCCGCAACCGCGCGTTGAGAGGGCTGAGGGGCGGCATATCCGGAGCGGGAGGAGTGTTCGACGTTATTCCGGGGCGCATTAAACAACCGTGTCATTGACGGCCAGAGATCTGAGGTCACGGCCGCAAGACCCTGCCGGAGAGTCAATAGTTAGCGAAGGCAAGTTCAAGCGTGAACAGATAGCAAGGCTTACCGGCTTGGGGAAGGGGACTTGGAAGGCCATGGTTGTCCGAACTAAAGCGGCACTTGGCCGCGACGTTGATGATAGTAACCCTTCGGCGCGATAGGGAGAGGGTGGGGCACAGTAACGATGACGATGAGATCAATCCTTAATCAAGATACATGCCATCCCCGACCACAACCAGACGACAGATTTGAGATGAAGAGAGGAAAGAAGAGAGGCCAAACCAATGACGATGCTTGGCTGGTCGTTGCTCGGCGGCGAAATTCGACTGCCGACCCGGTGCTCTGCCGGCTGCTGTCGCCCCCCGTAGCCAGTATGTATTGCTGCCTATATGCCTCAGGCATGAAACATCAAATTCCACGCCATTCCCCAAACTTCCCCGCCCGCATGGATGCGTTCTAGAAGGCTGCACCACCAGAGCTTCCCGGAATTTTCCCGCTGTTGACACGGCCATATATCCGGTATATCTGCGTCATGACTTCTCCAACCGTACTCATGCCATGATGATCATGGCCGCGCACGATCCTCAATCCACTTTCTGGACCGTATACGCAGTACCATACAACATGAGTCTTTGCCTGTTTACAACCCGTGGTTCAGATCGGATACCGATGACTAGAACATCATCATAGAGTCAAGCTCGAAGGTGCATCCTCTTTGTCACAATCTATCTATATAACGGGATACGCCCTTCAGACGCCTTCACAACGCAGCTGCGGATTAGATACTTTAATGCTCCTTCCCCTCTTGGCACCTTTGAATCAATCTCTATCTTTGACCTCACCGATCTGGACGGATCTCCGCAACGTGTTTGACATTGATAAGTTGGAGAGAGCAGCGACCGGCATTATAACTAATATGCCCGTGGCATGAACCCCGCTATACGACACATATGATGTCGAAACGGACCATCTTCCTCATGGGTGCGCCCACGTTGCGGAATCTCCAGTGGAATGAAGAGGAGCTGCTGAACGCACCCATATCTCCATTTCATAGTCTGGATACGCAAAACGTAGGCCATTGGCCTTTCCCTGATGGCCAGCCCGTGAAATGGAGACTATTACAGGATCTGCGAAATCCAGGGCTTTCCCCAGAAATCTACAGGTGGGAGCCAGGTCGAGATACTCGCTTCCTCACTATACGGGACATTGCATGCTCTGATGGGACATCGCGGACAAAGCCGGATGATTCAGTGCTCTCGCAGTTCTACAACCATTCATTTACCGTTCATGAAACCTCGGAGATCTCGACTCCGGGGTTTCACTCTGGAGATTCCATGCGCAGTAGTGGTTTATCGGCCGGGACTTCTTTTGCGACAAGCAGCGAGAAGGACGGGCCAACACCAGGGTTACCGATCCAAGGGCCGCTCACCGACCTCCGGGATATCCCCTCTGCGGCGTATCTGAATTCGATCGTGCCGCAGACGATGACGGTGAATCTGATTGTGGCGATTATCGCCATCCACCCTCCACGGCGGGTGGTAACGCGGCAATGGAAGCAAGAGCTGGATCTGGTTGAGATGGTGGTTGGGGATGATACAAGAAGTGGGTTTGGGGTTACGTTCTGGCTTCCTCCTGTGAATCATGCGGTCATGGCTGGGGAAGGTGACGACGAAGGGGAGGCGCTGGGGGTGTCGCTGGCAACGCTGCGTCCACGGGACATTGTTCTGATGCGGATGGTAGGACTGAGCTCCTTCCGGGAACGGGTATACGGGCAGAGTTTGAGGAAAGGGGTCACGAAGGTTAACCTGCTGCACCGCCAGCGGGTCGACGTAACCGAAGCAGGCGGGCTCTACAGTGCGAAGCAACTCCGGGATATTCAACAAGACCCTGCAGCCAAGCGTGAGGAAGATCTGCCGCTGATGAAGGTGAGCAAGGTGCGCGAGTGGATCAGGAGATTTGTGTTCGATCCGGTAGGCGGTGATGGGGGCCGGGGAACTTTTACACGTGGCTTGGCTGGAAAGGGCCATTCACTGCCCCCAGACACGCAGGAGTGAGCAGACAGGCAGGCAGAGAGTGATGATTTATATATAGAAATGGCCTGGAGTAAGGTCTGCTGCCTACTGATTTATACATGGGCTGGGAACTAAGATTCTTCCCTAATATCTCTAATTTCTCGATTCATTATGTTCCTTGTTTAACCTGCAATTCTGAGGCGCTCCTGAAACCTGCCACCAGCCTTAATGAACCCGTGACTACCACTGGGGGCTGTGAGGAAAGGGCGGCAACAAAGAAAACCGGATGATCAGGAGACACGGATGAAATTGATGCTTATTCCTCCTGCATACATTCTGGGTAACCCGCTAAGGTAGGTACTACGTTGTGTGCTAAAATGAAGAGGGAATGCAACCCGACAGTTTGAACGCCATCGGTGGCCAAGTTACTACCAAGTATGAGGCCACCCTTTCATTGGATAATGTGATGGCACTAGGTAGTTCTGGATGGATTACTAGTAGTCTTTTTATTCTTTCTTGCTTTTTTTTTTTTTTTTTTTTCCTTTTCCCATCGACGATAAAATTTACAAAGGGGGATATGCACGTACTGCGTCAATCGTGCGTGCATCAGCTGTAATGTAAGTCTACTTAATAATATTATCATGATCATGATCATGATATGCGAGATTTCGTAATTTGAAGCAAGAATGGCATAATATCACCAACCTCATAACTGATCATAATTTAAAAAAGTTCAATAATAATCAGTTGAAATAAATGTAATTAAGATGAAGACTACAATATTTTATGGAGCTGTAAAGATAATTCAGGGGGCACTGTTGCCCCACTGGGGGCACCTGAACCCGCCGCAGTGATTAGCTGGTTCTAGGCCGTACGATACCCGACTATACCCTAAACGGCAGAACCTGCTGGGCGAAGTGGCGCTGCCGCAAACGTGCGCAGGTTGAACCCAGTGTTCCTGGCGAGTACCAGTGAGTGCCAGTGAGTGCCATCTTCAAGTCACAAGGCTGTAACTCTGCTACACACTGGCCGGTTTAAGGGGTCTTGCCAGTGACCTCTTTTTTTTTGACTTGCCCATAACTTACCGGCCCGTACATACACAGCCATTACGGCCCGCTCTCCCCGAATCGCAACGCCAGGTGGTCTCCTCTTTCTCTTTCTGCCTTCCTCTCCTCTCCTTCTCCTCGTTCTTATATTATATCCCGACCGTTCTTTTTCCTCCTTTCCTTTCCTTTCTCTTCCCTGTCTGTGACCATCCGCTTCAAATCAATCAATCGATCAATCTAATCTCTCCAACGTTCCCATCTTTGCATCGTTGGAACAACTGATCCCTCCTCTTCCATACACTCTCTCCACCTTTCCTTACTACCCCCCCCCCCCCCCCCCCTCTTCCGTCGGCGGGCTTTTGTTCCACCTGTCCAACTCGTTCTTTGCTCCGGTCATTCGTTTGGAGCGAGCCTCCCGATCGCTACTCTACCCTACAATTAATACCTCCCTACAGCAACCATGAAGGGTATGTACCAGTCTACCTAATTGTTCCTTCGGGCTCGCTGACTTTTGACTATCTAGCCCTCATTCTCGTTGGCGGTTTCGGTACCCGTCTGCGTCCTCTGGTGAGTTGATCACCCCCGCCGACGATCGTGACGTCGAACATACCAGTCGATTCATGGCCGGGCCGTGGGAAAGCGCACACAAGCTAACCGTTCTCAATGCTGCCTAGACCCTGACTCTCCCTAAGCCTTTGGTCGAATTCGCCAACCGGCCCATGATCCTGCACCAGGTTGAGAGCTTGGCTGCTGCTGGTGTCACAGATATCGTCCTGGCCGTCAACTACCGCCCCGATGTTATGGTATCGACCCTGAAGAAGGTACAATTGCCCTAGCTGCACGGATTGCCGTCCGCGAATGCTCACAGCCGCCCCTAGTACGAAGAAATCTACAATGTCAGAATCGAATTCTCTGTGGAATCCGAACCCCTCGGCACGGCTGGTCCCCTGAAGTTGGCGGAGAAGATTCTGGGCAAGGACGACAGCCCGTTTTTCGTCCTGAACTCCGATATTATCTGTGACTACCCCTTCAAGGAGCTGGCCGAGTTCCACAAGAACCACGGCAACGAGGGCACCATTGTGGTCACCAAGGTCGACGAGCCCTCCAAGTACGGTGTCGTCGTCCACAAGCCCAACCACCCCTCGCGCATCGACCGCTTCGTCGAGAAGCCCGTTGAGTTCGTCGGCAACCGTATCAACGCCGGTATCTACATCCTGAACCCCAGCGTGCTGAACCGGATCGAGCTGCGCCCCACCTCCATCGAGCAGGAGACCTTCCCCGCTATTGTCAAGGACGGCCAGCTGCACTCCTTCGACCTGGAGGGCTTCTGGATGGACGTTGGTCAGCCCAAGGATTTCCTGAGCGGTACCTGCCTCTACCTCACCTCCCTTGCCAAGCGCAACTCGAAGCTGCTCGCCCCCAACAGCGAGCCTTACGTGTATGGCGGCAATGTCATGGTCGACCCCTCCGCCAAGATCGGCAAGAACTGCCGCATCGGCCCCAACGTTGTGATTGGACCCAATGTGGTGGTTGGTGACGGTGTGCGTCTGCAGCGCTGTGTCCTGATGGAGAACAGCAAGGTCAAGGACCACGCGTGGGTCAAGTCGACCATTGTTGGATGGAACAGCTCCGTGGGCCGCTGGGCTCGGCTGGAGAACGTTACGGTGCTGGGTGACGATGTCACCATCGCCGACGAAGTCTATGTCAACGGTGGTTCCATCTTGCCCCACAAGAGCATCAAGCAGAACGTTGATGGTGAGTGAATTGTCTACATTCACATGGCTCATTGCTAATTTAACTCTTTAGTTCCTGCTATCATCATGTAATCCTTTTGTCACGTCGACATGCCCTTCACCTTCGATATACACCACCTACACTGAAGTCACCAGATGCATAGAAACCGGAGTTGACCGTGTCTTTCTCTTTCGAGCAGTGTAGAACCCAGAGGGGGTTCTAGACAACAGGACGCTGCTTGGATACAATGCGGTCTACGCCTCTGAACCATCTCCCACTCGCACCCGTCCATTCTTACCTTCGTCTTGTGCTCGTCCGTGTCCGCATGCTAGAGGCCTTGATGGTAGAAGCGTGTCTGATTCGGGTCATCCTTACATCCCTTATAATCAATCCCGAGGTCTCTGATCTCTTACCTTGTTCTCCCGCATCTTCCTCCGACGGACTGCGTGTCACCAGTGCTGTTGCTTCTTTTATTTACCGGCTTTTTCTTCTGCTACCTTGTTTCCCCGGGGGATGGTGAGCACATGGACTAATACTCTATCTGATTTTAATGACGTATGTGGACATGGTTAAAAGAATGTAAATACGGGAGGCAGGATCAGAAAAACAATCTTATTATCTCTATTATTACTCTATTCCTCTATTATAGATGCTGCAATATGTGATATGCCCGAACCCATGCACCAGATTATCCCACAGAACTAAGCAGCAGCAGCCTCCTCCCTCTCCAAAATCTCCTCCCACTGCACCCTCAACTCCTCCATCCCCTGCCAACACTTCCTTCCCAACTCCTCAAACTCGACCTTCTCCTCCGCCGTCAAATCCCTCGCTCCACGCTTCCTCCTCCGCAACCGATCCTCCATCACCACCGCCTCCCCAACCACACCCCCATGACCCCAGCCATCCACCTCCGTCGAAACCGCCGTATCCCTCCCCAACCGATCACACGACGACCCCCATTTCACCTTCCCGCCACCATGAGCCCGATACACCTCCTCCGCAGCATCCAGCTCCTCCTGCCGACTAATAGCCAACCACGTCGGCGCACACGCCCCCGCATACGTCGACAGCGTATGCCACGGCGACCCCAACAACCGGGCAATATAAAACGACGCGATCATGCACCAGAACAGCGGCAACGCCAATGGGAGGATCCCCGTTCCGCAGACACCCGGGTGTGAGAGGTACATGCGTGGCTCCTTGCCCTCCCTTTCACCACCCTTCTCATCCACATCATCACCTCCCTTGTGAGGGGTGTAGAACCCCTCCACCCACTTCCTCGTAGAGGGCGTCTCCGCCGTGAGGGCAAGAATATCCGTAAGCGTCTTCGAACTCTCATACGGCACCTTAGACCTCAACCCCTGAATATCCTCCACATTGAAATGATTCACGGTAGCCTCGATACTCGAAACCCAGATGACGCGGCCCGGCTGGGTGGATTTCCGGAGTAGGCCCATGACGCCATGCGAGAGCATGTAGTGACCGAATACGTTTGCCGCGAAGACGCTGCCCAGGCGCGGCTCCTCAGGCTGTGTGGTTTGGGGTGGGGTGATCATCCCCACGGGCGCGATCTTGTGCGCGAACCATGAGACGTTGTGTACGAGGTCGGTCAGAGTTCCCCAGATTGCGCGCGGCCAGTCGATTCCTGTCCATCCGCCGATGCCGGCGTTGAGGACGATGGAGTCGAGTTTGGGGAGGGCTTGGGTGAGGCGGGTGGAGAGCGCGCGGACGGAGGGGAGAGAGGATAGGTCCACGGTTTCGGGGTGGAGGGTTATTCTGCTGGATGAGGTGGGGGAGGAGATCGGGGGGAGGAGTGTTTGCAGGTGGTGAAGGGTTGAGGAGGCTTTTTTGGCACTTCGGGTGGTGAAGATTATGGTTAGGTGGGTGGTGGGTGGGTGGGTTGTGAGGAAGGTGGTTATTAGGCGCGCGCAGATGGCGAGGCCGAGGCCGCTGGTGGAATTGGCTTGTTAGATTGTTTGTGAGATTGTTTGGGGGGGGAGGTTTGAAGGGGTGTGCTGGTGGTGAGGTGGGTTGTAGGGTTGGGAGGGTGCAATTGAGGGATGGGTACCTGTTTGCGCCGGTGACTAGGACGTAGAATTGGTTGTCTAGGTCATGCTGTGGTGGTTCGGCCATGGTGATGGGCCTATTTTTGGTGGGTTGGAGAGAATCGGGCCGGGTTGGAGGTGAAGCTGGTGCTGGATAGTTGAGGATTAATTGGGGATTGTATAAATCTCCGATAAGGGGTGATTACATAAGGGGTTGATAAGGAGTGGGTCATGTGATATGAATGTATTCAGGTACGTTGTGGGGAGCAGCATGTTGATTTTACTTGAGTGTAGAGGAGAAAATGGTAGTGAAAATGGTTTATGGGAGTATAGTTGGGGAGGTTAATGATGGGGAGTTCAGTGGACGATAATCCCGGTCTCATACTACATGGCATATGGCATATGCCATATGCCATATGTATGGTCTGAATAGCTTCACGACACACCCAATCTAGTATACAATGGAATGCTTATATCATCGTTAACAGTACACAATACACATAACATATCAACATCTATTGAAAAATACTCATAGCAAAGTAAATCCGTAAGAACAACTACATACCCACCTCTTCTTACCAATCTACCTCCAATCCATCACCTACTATACTGGTATATACTTCTACAGATCCACTCACCAACCCTCATGACCAAAACCCACCAAATAATCCTATCAAATAACATAATACAGCTTACACCTACAAACCTCACCACTCACACCAATCCTCCAACTTACTACCTACGCTATATTCCTCCCAAACCTAAATCCAACCGCCTCCAGACGACCCAACCAACCAAGCCCCCTGTCACCTCGTATACCCTCCTCTTCATCTGATATATCATCGTCCTACGAGGATGAAGTTTATTTTTGCACACACACATATACACACACATACATAGTATGAGATAAGTTATCAGCATCATCATGCGGCTCTTTCACACCCAACCATCCATCATCGCCACATAACCATACTACAGAATAGGATGGTCGAGAAGCTTAAACTATAATTAGTGTTAACGAGTGAGTGGTTTACGGTTTAGATAACAAAACAGTTAGTTAAATGTGATGCGATGTGATGTGCTGGTCTTACTCATATCATACAGCATGATCGTGATTTTGCCACTATGCATACTGCACATACATACAACTACTCATTAAGAGAAGCGAATGGATAATCAACATCCAAGTAGTAAGTAGTTAGCAAGTATCAATTTGTAAAAGCAAAGTACCAGTGGCAAAAAAAGCCGTTTCTATTTGCATTAACCCAACTCGCCATACATATTTATGATCCCACACATACCTACCTACCTACTTACGACGACCTACCACATCCACATACATCCACATACATGTACATACATATACATATATGAACTAGCTGCAAACCTACTAGATGCCTCGTCGCTGCCTGACACTGACACACACACGTCTAGATCTATCTATATTAGGAGCGAACTTGGAAGTAGGCAGAGATGCATCAACAGCTTTAAATTTACATAATGAGTTGAGTTGAGGTATAATTGGCTTCATGGCTGGCTGGCTGAAGGGGCTAGACGCCTCCCAGGTGCCTGTCAAAGTTTAAATTAGAGAGTAAGTACATACATGGCGAGCAGAGAAGTTGGTATGCATGTATGTGTGTGTGTGTGTGTGTGTGTTTTCGGGGTTTGGTAGGTAGGTAGGTAAGGTTTTTTATTTTTTTTCGGGATGTGGTTTGTGCAGATGAGGTTGATGCATGGAATGGGGAGAGAATGTGTGGAAGGGAGGTTGTTCATTGTAGATACAGATGATGTTGCTGTGGTGGTGGTGATGATGATGAGGCTCGAGTATACTTTTTTCTATTGATGTAGGTGAGGCGTGGTCAGGTTTACTAGTTAGTGTTGATATCTGAGCATTGGTAAGCAGTAAGCAAGCTAGCTAGCTAGCGACGAGCGATAAGATGAATAGATAACCACTACTATAGTCGGTATGGGGCTATGAGCTTGAGCTATATGGACCGTCTGATATAAGCAGCTACTATTTCAAACGCGGGGGCGTCCATCCAGAACACTCGAAAAGGGCAACCAGCGCGGGTTTGCGAGTCTGCGAGTCTGGAGAGACAGTGACAGCGCCACCAGCTAAACTAGTTCCGAATCTGACAGGCGAGGCGTCAAGACGCGAAGGAATAACCCGACCATTTTCACCAAATCGGGGTCAGCCCGTCAGCACCACACGCCTCCCCCCCTTCGTTATTATCCTGATTTGCTTAGCAAACAAGAACAAGCAGCGGACCTATCGAACCCAGACCTCTGTAGACGAGCTCACATGGGGTTTGCCCAGCCTGTCATGGTGTGGATTATGGGGTTGTTTTGACCAGGATGAGACACAGCCACGCCCGAACAGCTGCACCCTGTCATTAAAGTTTGGGGGTGGGAAAATGTCCAATCAGATCGTCGACTGAGCTCGGTAGAATCTACCAGCCGTCTATGACCAATCAGTGTCGCGCCTGCATAAACAAAGTGGAAAAGGGAGGCAATGCCGGAATTAGCAAAAGAACGACTGTTATTCAGGGCTGATGTTGATAGGAGACGCGCGATCTCTGCAAGCGAACCAATGCAGTAGCAACGCCGATTGATCAGAATCTGGGATATCTTTTTTATTTTCTCCCTCATCAGGCTATCGATTCCATCCATCCACAGCGGCCTCTGCAATAGCCTATTCCAGAATCCAGACCGTATCGAAGCCGAGGACCTGCAAGGGGGGTGGGTAGAAAGACGCGCCCAGGAAAATCCACGCTTACCCGGCGCGCTGCTAACGGGATAACTTGGAGGGGAAGCAGAATTATTCTTGGCCAGAAATTAAAAAAGCACCTCCAGGATGGAGGGGATTGAAGTGGCCCAGTGACGAGCACTCACCGACTTATTGGGTTATTTCAGGCTTACGAGGGACCGGGGTGGATGGATGTTAGTAGACTAGTGATGCTTCCGTATAGTAGCGGTGGCCCGCGGGAAGGAAGGAGGGTGTGTGGGTGAAGAGACAACAGAAATAATAAAGGAGGGTGAGCCATGAGTAAACTAGCATCGTTATTGAAAGCCGGCTGATCGAGTCGCTGCCCGGTTCTTGGCTATCTCGTAAGGCTAACATGGTCGTGCAATCATCATCTGCGCCTGTGGCAGCTACGGTTGCGATTCGCTTGGAAAATGTCGCGATTGAAATTAATCCCCCTCCATGAAGCCGAGCCGAGAGCAGCCGTTTGAGCAGGCAGGCCACTGGCAGAAAGCATGCGTGGCTAGAGCTTGCGTTGACCAGGCGCGCTGCTTTCTTGGGATTGGGAGTTATGTATGCACATCGGAGATTTTTCTAGGCAATTGGATGCCTATCGTCCGAGATGCCGAACGCATGTATGTCTAGCATCGTCAGGGAAAGAACAGGTTAGTGGTGAGTAGGCTAGTGGCTAAGTAATCTATCGACCTGGTTAGTTAGTTTAGTCGTGATTAGTTAGTTGGGAGTAGTCTAGCGGCCGGATGCAATGCCCTGGTGCGACATCGCGTATAGCTCCGTTGCGCATCATGCTTTGAGCAGACAGATACTCGTTAGTGAGCAATGGATTAGTCCAATCTAGTCGGTTGCTCATATGGGGAAGCGGAGTATACGGATGGGCCCGCCAAAACACCGGCGCAACACAAGAAAAAAGGGTTGGACAAATCGAAGCTCCGCCAGTCCACCAGCGAATTTCTGGATGTGATGAGCTGGAATTTCTTTCCGACATCCACCCGGCCGGAATTAGCGCCCAACTGTCCACGGCTACTGCTACTGCGCGTCATCCATGTCGCCCCTCCCCTTCTCCCAGATGATAACCAGGCAGCGGTGACGGAGATAAGGCTAGAGAAGTCCGAAGTCGACAATTTCGTAGAGTATACTGAGACACTGACAGACGGAGGATGGGCGATTGATTTCCTTGGCCTGAGGCGGATGGGCAGCAATGAGCAATGAGTGGAGGAGAAGGGATATTAGACAGAATTAGTGAGGGAGCTAAGTCGAGAGTAGTCCTGCCTTGCTAAATATACTAGTAGAACAGTAGTATATATTATAGTAGTGTAGTAGATGAAGGTTACATACCACTGTTCTTTCTAATGCAGTGTGCGATTCCCAGCAAGTGTCGGTGACTAGTACTCACTCCGTAGACTAGTATACTAGTATATTAGTAGACCACGAGCCGGGGTGACACTACTCCGGATCATCCACAATGAAAATAAAAACGAGGTTGATGGCAAGTAGTAGTGATGATGAAGGCAGGAATGAAGTTGCGTGTGACAGACGGTGCTAAAGACTTGCTAAAGATGCTCCCGAGCGACAATCTTCCCCCAATGCGGGGTATGTAGAAAAGGAAAAGGACGAGGCAACCAGCAGCAGCTCCCGATGGAGAGCGAGTCAAGGCTGGAGGATTTCATTTCCCCTTCAATCTCCTCCCGACCATCTGACACCCGTCCGGTTTCCCTCTTTGCCAGCATCAACACTAGACCGGGATGTTCATTACTAGAGGTTACCATTTACCAGGAAGTGAAGGGGCATAACTTTCCTCTCGGTCGGGATCTCCCGTCTCCTTCTTCTACGTTGCGTTACGTGTAGTTACTAGTTACTAGTTACTAACTCATTTCTTTTTTTTGGTCCCTCTGTCTGACAGCCCAGCCTTATTCGGGATATACTATCATTCAATCAACTTCACCAGACTTGTAACCATCCTGGTGTATCACCTCGGAGTTCCTTTCTCCTCTCGCTTCATACTACTAACTAGCCAACCTTCTCTCCTCCAGCCTATCTTTGTTTAGTCTGGTATAATAAGTTAGTTAGTAGTTAGACTAATTGTAGCGTGGCCATGCATGAATTCCTAAAAGCACTGCCCACACTTTCCACCCCACCCTCATTCATCTCCTCCCTCCCATCTTCTTTTCTTCCCCTTCCCTCATCCAGCTTACGCATCACGAATCACGAATCACATATCCTAACCCCTGGTGGGAACAAGCAACCCACCACGTAATTTCGGTCGAGCTCGGTTAACCATGTGTCTTGTCTACTGGCGTTACGTCAATTGCGACCGGGGACAAGGGTTCAATTTCAGTTCCCAGCGAGGAGAAGCCGCTCAGACACATGATGCCGCCGGTCTGCGACTACGGGTTTACCGCGGCGGATGAACCACCGACCAGGTGCCTGGGATTCCTTTCCCCAGTGCTAACGGAAGCTGTTGTCTCAGGTTGATGGAGGAGACTGTAAGCTGGTCGACGTCATCGTCATCATCATCGTCATCGTCCCCTCGATCTCGTCGACGGATGCAATTGCATGCCAGTCCGTATGGCACGAATGCTCTTCCCTCCTCCTCCTCCTTCTCCTCCTCCTCCTCCACACCCTCGAGGTCGGATGTTTTTCCCCTCCTTTCCCGTTCGTTAGCTGCCACGCCAGTTGACCGGGGAGATCTTCCCAAAAAGCGGAGAAGCAGTGTCCATCTCTCATGGCAAATCAAGGTCTTGCAATCACCTTATGCGAAAATTGCCTTTTCCGGCCTCGCTTTTTCTTTCTTTCTTTATCACTTTTACCCCTCGTCTTGTCAATCCATTGCCCGTCCCTTGCTGATCTGTTGTTTCGTTTCGTCCATCCCTCCCCCCAATTCCATCCCCCCCCCCCTCCCCCCCTTCCCCCCTCCCCCCCCCCCCTGTCAATCCATTGCCCGTCCCTTGCTGATCTGTTGTTTCGTTTCGTCCATCCCTCCCCCC